TACATGTTAGCACAAGTGAAGAACTTTTCTCCCATGCTTGCTTCGATCAGGATTGCCAGTTTCTGGGCTTTGGTCCCCAGGTTTCCTTTTGTGTGCCTTGACACCCTCTCAGGGTCCACCTAGAATTTACCCCACTGACTTTTCTCTTACACATCTCATGGCTTCACCTCCTGGGATTGCACGCCTCTGGGCTTTGCCACTTGCAAACAGGCTTTGTCAGGGGCAGATGGGAATGACTGATTGGATTTTTATGAAATTTTTAATGAAATCCATCCTGTTAGCAGCTGTTTCAGCATTAAAAGAAAGCCTGTTCTTTTGAAGGAAGCAAATTATTGAGCTCTCTAAAAAATAATAATTGAATTTCTGTTGATAGGTGTGCATTTGTCTGTAAACTTATTGATACTACAAATTAAGATTATAAATATATTATTGAATGGACAGATACTTTTAATATTAATTGCTATATTTAATATATGTTTAAAGATGCAATTTTAAACAATGTATAAAGAGCACATTTGGAAGTTTAAAGAGTACACCTTTCCAAGATTTTTAATATTTTAATGCAGTATCTTTGACTGGAGTGGTGTCATTTGTGAAAGACTTGTTAAGAAATTACCCATCTTTCATGGAACTCAAATGTTCATTACTATGTTCACAAGAACCTGCCATTGGTCCATATTTTGAGCCTACCTCTAATCAGTCTATTACCTACAAACCTGTGTTTTTAAGATCCATAGGTGTAAGGATAATATTTCATATTACCCTCATGCCTGTGCCTAGGGCCTTCTAAGTGGCCTCTCTCTCTCCTTTAGTTTTTTCTGACCAAAACTCTATATGCAGTTCTCATCTTCCCGTTTATGCTACATGCCTCACCCATCTTCTCTTTAATTTTATCAATCTAATAATATATGGTGAAGTGTGCAAATTATGAAGTTTTTCAAGTCTCCTGTCACTTCCTTCCAATGTTCTTCCTCAGACCCTTTTGTATTTATAGTTTTTGTCTCTCTTCTACCAGGTAGAAATTAATTTGTATGAAAATAAAAATAAAATACTATTATATGCTTATGAAGCTAAACTCCTGCTATATGTTATTCCTACATAATAACTACTAGAAGAGGTGTCAGTGTAAATGACAAACATATAACACATGGTATAAAATCATAGTTGGCAGAAGACGTCTGACAGTGGACAGGTCTGGAAAAATTACAATACCAGAGGCCTTTGACAGAGCATGGGCATCGGTTAATAACATGAGAGACCAAGTTTCACAACCTTTAAATTTTTTATTAATATATTATAATTTGTAGAACTTGCACAGAAATAAAAAGAATGTTGCCTGGAACAAGTGGTCATCAAAGATACCAGTCTTAAGAAATGTTGCAGATATATTTTGCACTTAGCAAGCTTTGATATTGACATTTGTGAACATTCTGGAATTTTTAACCATCTGAATAAGCATATGTGTTGGTAGATGCTGTGTAGTAGAATGAATTAAAAATTTAAAAAGTAAAGCCATCCCGCTACACTCCATGCCGGTCATTTGGGGGAAGTGGAGGTATAGCTCCAACTCTTTCTTGGCCTCGACACTAGATGGTCAGTGGTCAGCATCACGCCCCGGCCATGCTTTATCCCTGGGAAAGGACCCTGGTACCCATTGGATAGGAGGCTGGGCCTCAGAGCCATTCTGGATGCAGAGGCTAGAGGAAAAATCCCCTGCCCCCGTCGGGGATCAAACTGCAGTCGTCCAGTCCATAGCTAGTCACTATACTGACTGAGGTATACCAGCTCCGAGTAGAATGAATTCAGTACATGTTAAAAGGATCAAGAAGTGTTTCATATAAAAAATTTAGCCTTTATGAAGACAAACTGGTATTTTTTATGTTTTTTATAAACTGACAATGATTGTAATCAATTTATTGTGAGGAGAAATTAGATTAAGTTATGACTTTTGATAAGATTAAATTTTTGTTGTAAGAAGACTTGCATACAATGTAGATATTGTTTTAATATTAAATTGTCAAATAAATAATAATAATAACTTTTACAATGCTTTGCTAAGCTTACTACAGTACAGTAATTTGTTATAGTGTCTACATGACATAGTTTATTTATTAGTGTTCTGTCTGAGGACAGGTCCATATGAACAGGATCCTTCCATCCTTTTCTCGGACTGGGACCTGTTCATATACGTTCTTGGCAGATGATCCAGAAGTGGTTTGCCATTGCCTTCTTCTGTGTGTGAATGGAGTAATTGTTGGGATGCCACGGAGGAAAACTCCGTGTGGCCAGCGTTCTAACCGCTAGACCACCGTGGCGGTCATGACATAGTAATGATAACAAATGTATAATGGTTGGCACACATATATGTGGGAGGTCCAACAGGCAAGAGTTTCTTATCCATGTATTCATACTGATGTCTTAGTTCATTGAACCAAGAGTATTGAACATATTTTCGCTTTCACAATAAACACCTTTGTCTGCGAGGAAGATAAAAGAAAAGAACAGCTTAATGGTGGTGCACTGCTAATGTGACAACACACTGCACACCTTCCGTCTCTATCTCATGTTTGAGATATTTTACTGTCACATTTAGCTGAAAATTATTTCTAACTAAAATCTGCTACTTTTAAGATTCCCCCCCCCCCCATTTTTATACCTGCTCTATTTCTTTAAGTTTTCCCAGCAGAAATGTAGCAATTGAGGAAAAGTTACTCAGCATCAACCTGTCTTCAGTTTGATTCCATGTTTTGTATACAAATCTTGGGCAGTAAAAATGTGAATGACAAATTTTGTTTTGTAGTACTGCGAAGACTTGGTACAAAAACATAAATTGAATGTCTGTACTATTTTCTTCGAATCCATGGCTGCAGCTAAAGAAAGAAGTAAAAACTATTTTACCCTCAAAATAAATTTCATGCTAATAGCAAGTTGTCATAAATTATTTGCTTTGTAGAAATACAACAAAATTGGAAAGGTGTGTGCTCTATGGTGTATATTGACATGGTAGCAAAAGTGTTTTAACAGTGACGGTTATTGTTGCACAGTGACCCCCTTCATGCAGCATGACTACCTAGTAGGAAGCGTATGTTATTCAGATGGTTGTGGACAGGACCATTAGGTGTTCTTCACGAGAGTGTGAAGAACATGTAAAACCAGTTTATTGATTCTAAGTTTATGTAATTAACATTTTTAAAGTGCATAGAGTATGTGGTAGTGAGTGGCATGATAAATTTGAAAGGAGTGAGGAAGTCTGGAAAGCCTTGGTGATCATAACCAGCCTCCAGGCTGAAATTTTAACCTCAGACCCCTTGAAAATGAAGCATGAGTTAAACCAGCAAACTGATTTTTACCAGTAGATACTTCCATATACGGTTTCTAAACATGACAGCACTGGTTTAATTAAATGAACGTTGTTAAATAGCAGACATATTTAAGGCAATGTTTCTGTATGAAATACCTTACTTCCAGCAAATAAATGATAAATATATGAAATCCAGTAAATATTGTAAGGTACGAGTATCTACACCATATTTGCTTTTCTGTAACACGCTACTGTTCTGTTTCTGTGTGATACATGTTTAGTTTATCACTGACATTTGTTTTTCTAGGTTGCCTTTATTGAAAATGAAGAGAGGATCAAGGATTTTATTATTATGAAAGAACAAAGGAAGAAAGAAGCTTTTAAATTGGTAAAGTACTTTCATGATATGTCCATGATAATGTGACCCTTGTTGACCATGTTTTTCAGGTGACAGGAAGTTGACTTCAGTAGAGTTTCTTCTTTGTAACAAACATGAATATTACAGCACCTTATTAAATTTTTATTTCTAGTTATGTGGAAGTGATGAAGATTCTTGTTCAGTCAACATTTATGATTGGATTAAATATCAGATCTGGTAAATAGTAATGGAGATATTGATGAGTTATTTTTCAGTGAATAAGGTAATTATAGCGTTAATTATAAGGTATGAACTGATAAAAGGTGATGAAGATTCAAGATACAACTGACAGCATTACAAAGTCCTTATTCTTAAGCAGCAGATATGCATAGGCATCTTTTTTCTTTTGTTTTAAATTGTAACAGCTTTTCAAAATTAATAAACAAGTACAAATTAATACCAGTCTCTGTGCTGTGAAGGCATAAAACATTCATAGCTGAGCATCAGACACCCCGCAATATGAAGATGTTGACTTCAGATTTTTTGCGTCACTGACACCATTTACAAGGGTCAGAACCTGGTGAACTTAACATAATTGTTAGTGCTGTGTGTATATGTTCTGTTTTGTTTGCTTCTCACATTTTCTTTTCTTTTTTCCCTTCTTTGTGTGGTTTTTATTTATTTTTATTTTTGTAATCTCTTTTGTTCCTAAGTCATTGAAATTATAGGCTTATCTTGGCTTCTGTTTTAGGCAAAACGAAAAGGGGAGCTGCTTGAGTGTATGTGTTGCTTTGATCCCGATGTAATGGCTGAGGATATGGCTACATGCACGGATGGACATCTATTTTGTAAGGAATGCATTAGAAGGTATGCAGATATCTAGTATAGAATCCCATTGTGAAATCGTGTATGATCTGGAAGAAATTATCCACCAGATGTGTAGTGTTGTTGAGAAATGTATTTCAGAAAAACTGTATCAGCTGTCATTTTGTTTACTGAAAGTCTGAGGCAAGAAGAAACTTACTTAAACTTTGGTTAGAGGTAAGTGACTTTATTTCCATAGGCCAGAAGCATGAAATTTGAGGTTTTAACATGGTTGAAAATGTTAATTTTGGTCTGGATTATGGCACCTTGTAGTGTTGTAGCTGGTCAGAAACATGATGGAGGAACATGTTACCTCCATCTTCTACCCTGAAACTGAAGGCAGCTGGCCTTTCAAAACATTCGTAGCCACCTAGAACACTTTATAGTGTCATTACCCAGAAGACCAAAATCCACATTTCAGATGAAGTTGGACTTGTGTTAACTTTCTGTATGTAATTTATAATACAGTAACAAATAGTGTTTGTCTCAGTAGTTCTTGTTCATAATTATTGTGTGACTGATGTAAAAATCAAGCAGTTTTGTGCTGTGAACAAGAGAGTAAACAGTAAGTGTAATAATCTCATACATTGGTGACAGTCTTAAAAGTGTGTTTTTGAAATATAACATCTGCTTCACAGTTGCCCATACTGCTGATTAACTCCATGGAGCAGATACCTTCTGGAGGATCTAAGAGTCACGTAGCTGACCAAGAACTTTCGTATCATTTATGGAAGCAGAATATTTTATACATATTCACAACAGTCTGCCACTAGACTCTGTCTGTGGCCAAATTAATTCAATCTTCATCCTTACACCCTGTTTCTTTAAGATCTATTTTCACGTTATTCACCTGCCTAGTTCTCTGAAGTGGTGTTCTCCTTGCAGACATCCTTACACCCTGTTTCTTTAAGATCCATTTTCACGTTATTAACCTGCCTAGTTCTCTTAAGTGGTGTTCTCCTTGCAGGTTTTTCTCTTGAAATTTAGTTGTATTTCTCATCTTCCCCTGTATGCTGCATGTATACCCATATTATCCTCCTTTATCTGATCACTCTAATAATAGTGAGGCTTCTCATTGAATATTTTACATGTTGTTATGTTAAAATATTTTTAGGTCAGCAGAAGTTGCCATTGGCAGTGCACAGAGTGGCTGCTCATGTCTTACAAACTGCAATGCAGAGTTCAGCCTGAAGGTCTTACGGGTAATGCCATCATATGTGATGTAGTCCCATCATATTTTAACCATTTTCCCCACTTGGTATATTAATAATATATCTGCATTTGACTGCATAGAAAATGGGCAAGGTGAACAGCATAAAGCCTGTAGATGGCTGTTTTTTGAGTTGTTTCACTCTGTAATCTGGTATAAGTTCAACAATTCAGAGGCGCTTGCCACCCACGTTATCAGGGCAGAGATCATTGCACTGATGGTAGAGGCAGCAAATGGTGATAACAAAATTACTGATAAGGAAAGTCATGATGTTGACATTGTTGGGCAATACTTGTCACCATAAAATGAGATGAAAAATCTTGGAAAGACTGTATGCAATATATCAATCGAAGATGCATCTTCCATCTTGCTGGAACCACATTTCATCAATGTTAATTGCGTGGCGCTGCAAAACACAAATAACAAATGTCTGGAATATGTATGTATTATTCAGATGTGGGCCATTGATCAATCATTATTATCCCTTAAATGTAAGGCTCTACAACACCATCTACTCTTGTTCTGCATCATACTGTAGGTTTTTCACTGTGCAGTGTCCTTTCATGCAGCAGCAAGGATTTTGATGCGATTAGTCAGTAGCTGATGTTTTCGTGGTTCCGCCAAAGTGTCCGGGAAGATGCCAGTATACGGTTCGATCACTTAAACTGTATACTTCAATTCTAAAGGGTTATGACGACTTTTGACTTAAAATTATTTGTTGTCAGGTCCAGTGACAGAGACTAGCTCTTTCTAAGGGACCCAACAGAGTAGGTACCTCTCACCTGAAGACGGAGGCAGAAACAGCCTCCGAAACGTCGTGAATTTAAAAAAATACAACAGACGTTGGGAAAAGTCCTGACAACAAATAATTTTTAGTGTAAACTATCGTCGTCAAAACCCTTTAGAATTGAACCTGATATTTTACTTGCTGTTTCATGACAGTGAGCAGCCTTTTGGTTTGAGCAGATCTGTGTTCCTAACACATTCTTTGTTTTAGGAATATTAATTTTTTCTTGTTTAGCATTATATGCTGTACCCAGCACACGTAATTGTTCCACTAACACTCAAACCAGACCATAGAAAATGACCAGGGTAAAAAAAATGCAAGTGAACTAGGCCGCATGTTTTTATAGTCTAGGAAATAATAAGGTTAACGAAGAGGACATTAAATTAAAAAATTATACATTTCGAATTTTATAAAGCTTTCTTTAACCCAACACTTACATTTGTCAAAGTGGTACTGACATATTAATAGGTAAACCAAATTTGTCAAAATTATATTCAGCAATTAAGTTATCAGGCAGTATTTTTTGGAATGATCTTTTTAATTGTTTCACTCTTGTCTCCCTGCCAAGTTGTAGAAGTGCTATTAATAGCATCTTTAATTGGTGGTGACTTCCAGAATAAAAGGGGATTATTTTCCTCCATCATCAAGTCCTAACTATACAGTCTTCTCAAGGTTTTGGTCACACCCTGGTCCATAGGTTGTACCAAAGACACAGTGGTTGGTGGGACAAAGTATTTTCTGTTTGTGTTATATGTAAATACTTTTGTTATCTGTTAAGTTGTTTCTTCACATAAAATATGAATGTGGCCAGTATTTCTAGAAGTCTCAGTTTATTAATTTTTATGTAACTAGCTGTCTGTTCTTACATAACCTCAAACAGTAGTGTTTTAGAAGTATTAATTGGTTTGTTTTAATGACTTCAAATATTAAATTAATAGTCCACATTCTGACTTTAAGTTATGCCATGGAAGTTAATAAATGAATAAGTCTGTTTTATATCCAAAAATAAATTAATAAGATTAATAAGTCTGTTTTATATACAAAAATATATTTCTTACATATCAATTGCAAATGTCTTTTGCTACACAGACTGTGTTGACGCCGACTGTATTTTCACGAGTGGTGCATATAAAACAGCTGGAAGAGGTGCAGGCTGCTGGAATTGAAGACCTGGAGAGCTGTCCATTCTGTGACTTTGCAACCATTCCACCCTCTGACAGCAAAGTGTTCCTGTGCTATAACCCAAAATGTATGCGGGACTCCTGCAGGTCTGTTACAGCTCATATCATCTGTTCAGAACTTTCACCATGCCATGAAGCACAGGATCTTATCCTTTGAATACATCTGCCAGGGCCAACCGTAATCGCTGAGTGATTAGTACGTGGGCCTCATTCAGGATGTCCTGGCTTCAAATCTTGACCAAAACGCTAGGTATCTGGAATGAAGGTTATTGCGATTTATCTCAGTTCCTGTGGGTAGATTATGAGTGATCTCTGGTCTGCATGTGACCCACCAGACTGCCTGGTGCATTGCACAGGTGAATTTCACTCTCAGAGAAACTAAAAATATTGAGGTTAAAATACTCTTCAAAATAAATTGTTTACATTTAAAACTCAAAATTACTGTCATATATATTGATGCAGATATTTTGTTGGCACGTGTTCCATGATATTTAATATTCTGTTCTTGCAATAAGATCAGATCAATCAGCAGTGTCAACAATTCTTTGTCATTTGCTATATGTGAACTTGATATCTATAGGCTGCTTGAAATGTTCTTTTGCTGTTGGCTCGAATTTACTCTGGTTACTGAGCTTTGGGTGACCATACACTTTTGAATTGTTATACAAGATTTCATTGGTTGAATTGTGATCAGATGCTTTAACACATGTATGACTTAGAGTCAGAAATTTAATTATTTCTGTAAATGAAGGGGAGACATTTCCCTCTGTTTTGTAATCACAGCAATTACTTTGTATTTTGCATAGACATTACTCAAGATGAATTAAATGAACATCATCCTGCAAGGATCATATCACCTTGTCAGTGAAATTGTTTTACAAAATAACATCGTTTGAGAGGAAGCTACAACTCAGAGAATAGCAGTTGTGATCAAACAATATGACACACTTTCCAGTTCTGTGAACATTTGAGCCCTGTTGGTAAGAAATATGCAGAAATTATTTTTCAGCTAGAATTCAACTCCAATTTTCAAAATACATATGTGTGAGGTCAAAATCATCATATTTTCATTGTCACATGAAGTTGATTTTGAAACTGTTTCAGCTGAATTTCAAAAGGTGTGAAGAAGACATTTTGTCATATTCACTCCTTGGTTTCATAAACTCTCTTTACCTGCTGATAAGTTCCCAGTGCTTAGTTCAAGACAAATGACAAACCTTTCTGGAAGCACATGCATTATTGAACAGTTCTTTTAAAAAATGTGTAAATGGTCAAGAGTAAATTTATAAATCAATTTATGATGAGAGATTGCAAAGAAGCTGCCTCATAGTTGCTGCTTCTCATATATGTCCATAGATATTGAGAACTTAGTAGCAAAGAAACATTGGCAGACTTCTTATTCACGTTCTTCCAGTGAGCAGAATAAAACTGGAAGTCCTAGAAAATTTTGTTGAAAGAAAATGTCTATCATTGTTATCACTTGGCTTGCAGCCCGTTTAAAGTTTATAGATTTGTAAATTGGCTCTTTTACAAGAAGTATTGCTTATCACTGCTTCAGGTAGGTCTAGAGGTGGTGCCTTAACCCTTTGCCGCGGAGATTTAAAGTCCGAGCCTGGGGTAATACGTTCTTAGTGTCCCTTTAAATTTTGCTCTAAAATACTATATTTATCATAACTTTGGAACTATATGAGATATAATTAAAAAAATTTCACTGAAATCCTCTTAAAAGATGGTTTTATTATCTTACCTTATAAGATGAACGCCCTGTGTGTGAGCAGTGTAAGGATGTGGATCAGAATTTGAGCTTCGTGTATTTCACTGCCACCACCAATGTTACTCTCATTATCACTATCTCCAGTTGTCACCAACTGT